GCCTTCCTCTGGCTCTCCTGCCCCGCATCTTTCCTTCAAGCACCTCTTTCACAATGGTCTCGTGTCGTTTTAAATGGCCATAGCATTGTATTTTTCTGCATTTTATTCTATTCAGCAGCAGGGTTTGTCTTTTGTGTAGAATCTGACACACCTCATTGTTTGTCTTTTTTGTTTTCCAACTTATTCAGGCCATTCAACAGTAGCACCACACCTCAAACGCATTTTTTTTTCTTTTCTTGTCAAAGTCCAGGTCTCAGCACCATATACGACTATGGGGAAGATGAAGCATTCCAGCATGTTTTTCCTTATAGTGAGAGATAGTTGCCTGGATTTAAATAGTTTGTACATTTGGCTGAATCTTATTTTTGCAGTTGCTGTTCTTATGTTTATAATTTCTTTTTCAAAGCTTCCATCATCTGTGATTGTTGCCCCTAGATACTTGAACAGGTGCACTTGTTCGATTCTCTCCACATCCATGGTTATGCCTGTTCTTTTTCCAAAGGATTTTGATAACACCATAGTTTTTGTTGGGGGTTTTTTGGCGTTCATGTAGAGGCCTGCCTCGCTGCTGTTCATTTTTACTACTTTTAAACTAATTCTAGAACGATTTTCGTTCGTGTTTGCAAGCAAAACTGTATCATCTGCGTATCCTAGGTTATTGACGTTGCCGCCCCCAATAGAGACGCCCTGCAGGTTTTGTCCTTACAATCAGCAGATCTCACAGGACTACACGAGACATCTACCTTGGTGTTACAGGTATATATAAATATATATATATCATTTTGAGTCATCTAAAAAGCTCCCCTTTTCTCTAGAAGATGTCAAGAAGATGACAACCAACTGGTAAATATCTGTGCTGAACTAAAAAACACACACACAAATACAGCATTCTTCGGGACTCCTCAATTCAAATAATCAGCAGGCGTTCGAGAGACTCAGTGTGGATTTCAAGGGTCCCCTACCATCTGCAACACTCAACAAATCGCTACCTTAGAAGTAAAAAGTTCTACTTGACATTCTGGCCTTTTTGAATTACTTAAAAGCATGACGCCAGAAATCAGATGCTCTTTCTGCTCTATCAAAATCGTGAAATTATTCGGAGTCGTCATCAAGATATTCAAAAAATTGCATTCGGAAATACTCAACGGTGTTGTGAAACTCAAATTTTTTTGGCGTCAAATTTCTCAAAACTAGAACTTTGTCATTCTGGGGTTGCGAAATATCTGCTTACAATTGCTGATGAGTACATAATATGTATTCAGGTTTCTCATTTGCATTCGCCTGTACTGCAAAGACCTTACAACATTGCTTATAACCTCCTTGCTGTATTGATACATCTGCCCCTCCCCCCCCCTCCCAGCTATCAATTGCTTCTCTCAACTTTGTTTCCGGTTTGTTTGTTGTTGTTGTTGTTTAGGAACACCATGGTGGAATGAAAGCGTCAAAGAGGCCATCAAAGAAAAGAAGAAACTTGTTCAGAAACGGTTAAAATCCAAGGACGAAAACGACTACACGCAATATTCGCCCTACGATGTGCGAAAGGGCAATGGAACACAACAGGGAACTAAACATAGTATTTGTCGACCAGGAGAGAGCGTCCGAAAGAGTGAACAGAAACAGGCTGTGGAAAGAACTCGAAAACTACACAGTAAGAGGTAAACTTCTAAATAACATCCGCGCCATTTACGAGAACAGCATAAGTACAGTAAGAACGTCAGAGGGACTCACAGAGTGGTTCGAGATAAGATCCGGAGTAAGACAAGGTTGTGTCCTATCGCCACTAGTATTTATCAATATATATGGATAGAATTACAAATGAGGCTAACACAGAACCAGACGCCCTAAATGAATTACTCCTTTTCGTTTTAGTAAGAGTTATGGCACTTGCAACACAATTTAATAAGGTTATATAAGTGCCGAAGATTAGATGTGTTACAAGAGAGTAACAAACACAAAAAAGAAGGACGCGAGATCAGGAGGATAGGTGTGCGGTAGGAAAGAAGGAGCAAACCACCCCAGAGCACCCGCCAACCACACAGTAAATTACTCTTCGCTGACGACCAAATCCTGGCACACAAAGATGAACAAAGTCCCCAACGCCACATGAGCAGATTAAACGAAGAATGTCACAACTACGGCATGAAGATCAACATCAACAAAACAGAGAAAATGAAAGGAAACAGAAATCCAGAACCACTCAGGATACACAACAACAACATGTAAGTACCTTGGAAGTATCATATTTACAGAGGATGTGCGACTGAACAGAGAAATTGAAACACGGGGACAGAAGGCCAATAATGTTAGTTACCAGCTTGCTCCACTACTGAAACATCATAACATCCCCATGACAATAAATCTCAAAATGATCAACACCATATTCATCCCAACACTCCCCTATCAATGCCAAACATGGACCACACACAAGACATAGGAGCATAAAAGTACAACATGTGAAATACGATGTCTTCGAAAAGCAGTAAACAAGACCAGGCGAGACAAAATTAGAAACTCAGTAGTCAGAGAAATGGTGGGTACAAATGATATCATGCATCACATCCAACACCAAAGAATCAATTAATGGTTCGGACATCTCATGCGACAACCAAAACACTATCCAGCAGAACGTGCCTGCTTAAATAAAATTCAATGGCAACAAGGCTAGAGGGCAAACGAGAAAGACCTGGATAGATGGAGTCAAGGAAACACTAACAACGCATGGCATCCCCATGATCCAAGCTCTCTGGCTGGTGGCACAAAGACATCTCTTTTTTCCCACGACACCTAAACGGGTATAAAAGCGGCGTATAAAAATAAAGTAAGTTTGAGGTTGTTGTTTTTTTATATCTTCATAACACCCACAGTGACAGAGGGCCGGCGTCTTTTTTACATAAAAAAGGAGTAGCAACAGTTCCGCACGACTCCAAAAATTCTCGCTATAGCAGCCACATAGAAAAGCAGAATGGAACACTTTGGAAAGCCATTACTAGAGTGTTTGAGCGCGTGAAATCCGCAGCTTGCACTGTATGCTTCCGCGGAAGCCGAGTATGTTTCTGGGTGTTCTCAGAGGGTCTGCTGGGGTAATAATAGTTGTAAAGCGCATAGAGCATGCTCTTGAGCATGGATATGCGCTATATAAATGCAATTATTATTATTTGTGGCGTCGGTGGCCTAGTGGTTAGGCTCTCGGACTCGCAACCGTAAGGTCGTGGGTTCGAATCCCGTCAAGGGCCCGACGTTGTGTCCTTGGGAAAGGCACTTTACAGGTGGGAATTGGTACCCGGCTATAGACAGCGAAAGATCTTGTCAGTATGTTAGTGTTTGAGCGCTTAATCGGCTGCTCGCACTGTATGCTTAATCGGCTGCTCGCACTGTATGCTTCCCGGGAAGCTGAGAATGTTTCGGAGTGTTCTATGGTCTGCTGGGGTAATAATATAGTGTAAAGCGCATAGAGCCTGCTGCTGAGCGGGGATATGCGCTATACAAATGCTATCTATTATTATTAATATTATTATTATTAATATTATTATTATTATTATTATTATTATTATTATTATTATTATTATTATTATTACTATATTATATTATTAAGTCCCTCAAATCTCGCGAATTGCCAGTCAGTCAGCCAGGTGAGAGCTAGATTAGTGCCTGCAGACGCTCTTCACTCAATCAGGTCCTACTTGTGCACAGTTACATAAAAAATGAAACTCTGCGTGAACGTTTTTCTTACAACCGAAAATCTACGATGGAAACATCACTACATGTACCCAACTGGCTTCTAACCCTTGAACCCGTTCACCTGAACAGGAGCGTCACTGTATCGGACCATCCAAGTATGACTCTCAGGTCGATGAAGTGGAACGTGTGTACTGCAACCCTCAATTCAATACACACATGTGTGACCACTCGATGGACGGGAAACAAGACTTAGTGTGTAATTGAGACAGCTGGCTCCAATACCCGAAACTTCGATTAATCTAGAAAAGCCATACGTGAGCACAAGAGGACAGCATGCGAACCAGTGAAACGTCCGACCCACATACAAATTATTATGTGTACTTTTTGTTTTGGTTTTTTGTTTTGTTTTAGTAAAGAGAAAACATACACACAATAAAACTCACTTATTAGTTCTGCGAAAATTAAGGAGACAGACAGAAACAACAGAGAGAAAACGAAGAAGTAGGATCTACCAGAGGCGCCCTCCAATCACCCGCATGTACGTTTGAGTTTGAAATTTAAGCCACAAACACCAAAAACGTCGAGAAAATGGCCATTGATACTTTGGAAACTGATTCTATCTGCTTGCCAATGTTCTAAACAGCAAGAGCAGCCCCCCCCCCCCCCCCCCCCCAAAAAAGAAGGCCCGGCCTAAGGAATCCGTAACTTATTTCAGAACAAGGCCCTATCATTTACGAAAAAAAGAACATGTGTAGTAAAACATTATGTGATCAGTCATTCAACCACAAATTTATGTTTTCTAGTGGGGAAAATATTATGGACAGCGGTTTTTTTGTAATTGTCTTGTGAACAGATTATGGGGTTTTTGTTTGTTTTGTTTTTTGTTTTTTAGTGTAAGTGTTTTACAGAGCTCGCAACCGTATAAGGTCATATGAGCGCGAGGGACACACTTAACATGTTCAGTGGGTAGGAAATCTTGAATTTTGCCATGTTGGCGGCCGAGGCCTACTCTTATCGATTGTAGACCACCAAGGGATCTTTAACGTGCTCAGCATGCACACGGGACCTCCGAGATTTTTCGTCGTTGTCCGAGAATGCTAGGTGTAGAACGTTTCTACCAGAAGATCAGGGGAGTGGCTGACATGAAAGACAGCAGTAAGAAGGAGCCAAGGAGTAGCAGTAGAAAGGCTGTAGAAAGTCAGGAGCCCAGAGGAGAGAGCAAAGGAGGGGAAGGGGAGCTGGCAGAAGGTGGAGACAAAAGCAGACGACAGAACATAATTAGAGAGCAGGGAAAGATGTGAAAGAAGAAAATTTTCCGTCGCTATCTGGATTCGACCTATTGAATGAGAGGCGCACACCTTAACCTCTAGGCCATGAGAACCCCCACAGATTATGTACCACATGTTTTAAGTGTTTCGTAAAGTTGTTTTTATGATACGGTTTTCCACTGTCTTTCATGAGTTTCAGACAAATACAGTTCAGACCCAATATATGTAAAGAAATTGCATAAAACATGTAAAGCCTCTTTCATAATTTCGTAATTCTGACCCTCTTGAAACCATTTATCAGTCTAACTGAATTTCACTGACTTCAATACGGGTAATGGCATTTCAATATTGTACATGTGCCCAGCGTAGAAAGATGACATTGTACCTTTAGTAGTGACCTAAGAAGAGACAGCATTGTACCTAGTGACCCAAGGAGAGGGGACATTGTATTTAGTGACCCAAGGAGAGAGGACACTGTGATTGTACCTAGCGTATGAATGAGACATGACATTGTACCTTGTGTCCTAAGGAAAGATGAAATTGTCTTGTACTTCTAGTACTGATGACCCATAGAAAGATGGCATTCTCAAGTGAATAACAAAGATAAAAAGATCATAATATTGTATCTCAAGGCTTAGTGTCCCAAGGAAAAATGGCATTCTCTAGTGTGTATGAAAAAGAAGGAAAGAAGGACATTGTATCTCTAGTCTCAAGGAAAGACGGCACTGCACCTCTAGTATCCCATGGAAAGAAAACATTCTCTAGTGTGTATGACAAAAAAGTGCAGATGACATTGTATCTCTAGTGTCCCAAGGAAAGATGGCACAGTGCCTCCAGTGTCTTAAAGAAAGATGACATACCATAAATATAACTCATGAGGAAAGATGACGTTGTGCCCTGTGTGTCCCAAAGAAGGATGACATTGTAATACTTTATAATGTACGACGGGGAGAAAAAACTGTTACAATGTACCAGGGTACCGCGGTAGTTAAGTTACACATTTGAAAGTACACTAAAATTTAATAAGCGTTGATAGGGGAGGACAATCAGGAAAATATGTAAGGCAGATATTTGAGATCCACGATAACACAAATTATAACACAGTCTCAGTACAAGCGATTTCTTTCATGTCATCTGAAAATGGACTGGACAGAGTGGGTGAAGAAACAGGAAAATTCATTGGATCACCCAAACCCAAGAATGGTGTGAATGGGACTCAAATCTCTGTCAACCGTAAAAGTACTCCAACATTAGGTATTAGGTATTAGAGCAAAAATAATAGGCATATTTATGTAATCATATGACAAGCTTTGTAGCCTTTGTTTACCTTCTTCAACATTAACCCCAAAAAATTACCAAAAACACCCCCAATTTGGCATATTTAAAAGGTTAAAAATACATCTACATAATATAGTGTAAAGCGCATCTATAGAGCCTGCTGTTGAGCGGGGATGCGCTATACAAATGCTATTTATTATTTATTATTACTCTCATGTATCAAAATAAAAACCTAGGCTAAATTTTTATATTACCCTTGCTCATTAGGCCCTATTCTTTCCTAAAATTATAGCAACACACCACGGCAAAATGACATTATATGTATATACATTTATTTGTAAGAACAAGCTTTATAATACCATAAACTTAACGTCTACAGAATTAACAGCTAGATCAATCTCATTTTTAGTCTTCTGAGGAAAATTTTACTACTTCAGATTGCCAAACTACTAAGCACACTATCGACTTTCAGAGAAGTCCAAGTTTAAAAGAAACCTGAGAACATTGCAATACATCTGGTACTTTGGGGAAACTGAGAACCTCATTATACACTTGGTGCATATATGGGGGAAGCATATCTTTCGAGGCACCAGAGCTTTAAAACAAACAAGGACAACCCTGTCAGAAAATAGAGTGCAAGCTCACTCCGAATCATGTACGTTATGAGACTTGATTGTCACAAACTCTGAAACTCATGCCACAACATGACTCTATTCAATCCAGTCTTTAACTAAATGCACTGCTTTCTATTCAAACTGCAGACCAAATTAATTAAAATTTAATCTAAAAAGAATAGGAAAGCACAAAATTCCAATTGTGCATCAAGTAAATTATTATTTTTCATTTTTGGTTCAACAATGCTTGGTAGTTCAAGAAATTCAGTAGTAAGATCTCAATGTTTGTAGTCTCTGACAAGAGTCTGCCAGGTAGATGGACGATGGAGAGCCAAACACCACAAACTATTTTTAAAATGCCCCATTAGGTCTTGAACCTGGGTCACCCACACCCCAGTACAGTGATACCTCCAACTGAGCCAGTGACACACCTCAAGTCAGAAAAAAAAAACTATCACCCAAGAAAAATCAGGAAGCTGTGTGTAGTAGGCTATAGAATAATTATTAATAGATGATGGATCAATGACTAATCCTTGACATTCAAACAACAATCTTAAATTGACTGTGGCATGAATTCTTGTAGGTGGTTTGAGGAAGGAGGCAAGAAAAGGGAGACAATTATTTTCCATCACTCAACATTTCCGCAGTGACACGGAATATATAGAGAAATTCTAAAATACTCTTTCAATGTTACTTTTCAAAATAAAAAAAAGAAAGGCCTTACTCTCCTTGCAAATTGCTGAGTTATATTGTTATAAAAAATCAAAAGCTTACCTCAATGATGTAAAGGCAATACTGGGCAGAGCTGCGGTATTCAGTTGAAATTTCCGTGTTGGGAATGGCAACGTCTTGAAATATCCGCCTGTCATCCACAACATATGATGTGGACAATCCTCTTGGTTTGGTTATCGTAGACTCAGAATCTTCTATATCCTTTCCTTCAGATATTGAGTCAAGAATGTGGTCCGCATGTGTGGTGGGGGAAGGCGTGGGTAGTGGCGATTCCTCTGACAACTCTGCTGGACTCTGATGACTGACTTCATAATGAGAAGAAGACATTCCAAAAAAGGGTCTCATACTAGAGAAAAACCCCGGACTGGGTGTGTTCTCCGAGTCACTTCCTGACCCATAATGCTGATGATCTCCATTTGAGGAGATTGACGGAAATGAAGAAATAGAAGAAGACATTTTCCTGTTCGCCTCTTCCACTGGGACCCCATCCACCAAAACTTGTGGCGCACAGGGTGGAACATTCTGAGGCTCGCTTTCTTTTCCTTTCTGCTTTGAAGAAAAAAGTGATAACGTCCGTGGTTTCTTCAGGTTCTGAATGCCACTTGGCTTCAAGGAATCCACAAAGAAACTTTTTAAAGAAGAAAACTTTGGGAAAGAACTGTGAACTGACTCACTGCCGCCTTCCGACTCCGTGGAATTCATTAATGAACTGCTGTGTTTAAGGGAACTAGAAGAGTCAGATTCAAGGGAAGTCACTGAACTATTACGGCCAAAAGATAAAATCGCTTGTGGATCCAAGAGAAACTCACCAGAACTATCAACAGATTCATTATCAGTTCCAGACTGACTTTCCGGCACAACCGAGCTACCACCGTCTAAATCAGACTGAGACACCATTTCATTTGCTTCTTCTCTGAAATTTTTGAAAAAAGGATTAGTGTCATGCATGGGAATGTGTCCCGCACAAGGTGGACTATGACTAATATTATGTGAGGTGACTGTCACATCTCCGTTGACAACAGTGCTATTTAAATCAGCAGTCGAATCATTCAAAACAATTGTATCTGAACCTATACTGTCTGATGGTAAAGAAGGTGAAAGAGACTGACTCTTCATTTTGGTCACAGACGAAGGTACACATTTTGTACTTTCATCACTAACACGTTGACGCATGTCACAGACATCAGCCTCAGGGACATTTTTGCTCTCAGAATCAACATCTTTTGTTAGTTGTTTACTGGAAACTTTGTCAATGTCCTCTGGAATACAGTCATGAAAGACTTGAGAAGAATCAAATTGATTTTCAGTAATGGAGGAAAGAGGTCTTTGTAAAATAAAATCTGTCTCAGTTTTTTCAACTTCTGCTGGTGGTATAACGTCCTCAGAAAAATCCCCAACACTTGACCGACTTGATACTTTTTCATCAGATGTTAACCGAATTATGATTTCGGTCAACCAATCAGGCTCTGACATCATTTGCATGATGGGTAAAAGCACTTGATTACTCAAAATTTCTACAAGAAGTGTTCGTGAACAAGGGCCTTCCTTTACTTCTCTTTGTAGCAAAGAAAACACCACTATTGAAACAACCCCTCGAATGTAATTCAGTTCCATTTCTTCATTTTCCAGTGCTACATGAAAAGAACATACATTTTCAAAAGCTTCATCAACAGATGAATGTCGCTTCACTTTAGAATCAAGGGGCACTTTAGTTTTTGGATGTATTTGATGACTTTCAAAGGAAGACTTTGCTTTCTGAAACAAAGTCAGGTGAACACGATACAATTGTATGACTCTTGAAGCAATGAGCTTGGAATTTTGATGGGATAAACGTAAAGCCACCACACTGAACACATCTTGCAGAACACACTTCACCTCTTTCAGAAATTGGGCATCATAAGAAAAATCAGCATACCATGACCGAACAAAATCTCGAATAATTAATAGTTGGATAGAGTTCATTTCCAACCTTAGTGAAGTAGACATTTTGACCATTGATGAACCATCCTGAGGTTTTTCTACTTCAGAATCATAAATACATTTTAGTTCATTAATTATTTCCGATGACACAGATGAATGAGGCGTTTCAAATGTATTGCCAACAACTACTTGTTTGGCTTTTGAAAACGTTGACACCAATTCAATGTATGCAGACTCCAGTATGTAAAAAAATTGTTCTGCATACAATGATGCCTTCTCATGAAGAAGGAACTGATTAGTGAGATATATTCCTCCACCCACAGCAGACACAAACGACAGCATAAGAGTTCCATGTGATGACAGGAATGATGCTAAGAGAATCAACGATGCTAGAATGAGTAATTTCTGCAAGCTTGAAAACTGCCTCCAGTTCAACAAAACTGCAAGGCCTGTCTCCGCCATTTTAAATAAACATAACAACAGTCACCAACATCCCTTCAGGTATAATCCTGTGAAGCAGGCTGAAGAGGCGTTACCTCTAAGTATTGATCATTGTGATTAATAAACAGCCTCGATTAGATGGACTACCCATGATCGATAAATCCACTTGATCTGATCGACCGCGACATCTTGGTTGGG